CAATCAGTATTCTAACAAAAAATGTGAGCAAAGACACAGAGGTTCGAACAGGGTGTGTTTAGTATTGCTGGGGCATGAAGAGTGCATGAACTGTAAGCACAAGAGGTAAGCACTTTCAGAAATATGTATGTGCATGTGTGTGTGTATAAACACTGATATAAACATATCAATGGATATATCTGTACATCCAACTGCCAATTCACCATATACACACTCCTTACTTTTTAATCCTTCAAAAACCAAACTCTTGATTTCTACTCCTTAGTTTCTCCATTTTCACAAATGGTAATCCCATTCTTCTAGCTGCTCAGGCTGAAACCCTTGGGGTCGTCCTTGAAACTGCTTCTGTCATAGCCACCTTACAACCTATCAGCACCTCCTGTCATTCAACTTCACAACATATCTAGAATCTGACCACTTTTCACATCCTCCACAGCATCCACCCAGTTTGAGCTATTAGTACCTCATCCTTGGATTTCTGGAGTGGCTTCCAGTTCATCTCCTTTTGTACATAAGAACCAGAGTGATCCTTTAAAGACAAGCCACCCCTGTGCTCATGATCATGTCTCTTCTGCTCAAAATCTTCTCACTCGGAATCAAATCCAAATTCCATAAAGGAGCTCTAAAGACACCCCCCAACCCCAGTGCTTTCTGATCACATTTCCTTCCCTTCTTCCTTACTCACATGGCTCTAGCCTCTGTGGTGTTCTTGATGTTCTGTGAATATAACCAGCACGCTTCCACTTCAGAGCCTCTGCACTTGTTGCTCTGCTTCTTCTGCTGGGCTGATCTTCCCTAGATATCTGTATCATTTGTTCTCTCATTTCACTCACATCCCTGTTCCACTGTCTCCCTATTAAAAAGGACTTCTCTAATGTCTCCATACTGTATCACTATCACCTAGCTCTATTCTCTCTTATTGGCATTCACTGCTATCTGACATTATCTATTTATTTATATCCTACCATTACAACCATCACTAGAACTGTAGATCCATAAGAAGAGACCACGTTTTGTTCACTACTCATCTTTACTATCTGGAATAGTGTCTAGCACATGGAAGACATCCAATTAATATCTGCTGAATGGATGACTGTTGACTAAATATTTGCTTAATTGATAACTGTTGACTAAATAAATTCATATAGCCCTTACCCAAGTTAACAGCTTCCCTGGTGGCTCAACTGGTTAAGAACCTGCCTGCTAATGAAGGAGACACAAGAGATGTGGGTTCAATCCCGGGGTCGGAAAGATCCCCTGGAGAAGGAAGTGGCAACCCACTCCAATATTCTTCCCTGGAAAATTCCATGGACAGAGGAGCCTGGTGGGCTATATATATAGTTCATGGGGTCTCAAAGAGTTGTACATGACTAAGCGCTCACCACACATACTAGTTAATTAGAAAGATGACTAGAAGGAGTATGGAAGACATTTGAGCTGTACAAAATTGAGAGCAAAGATATCTGATGAGCCATAACGAAAACCAGATAAGGCAGTGAGAATGAACAGCTATGAAATTAGTGAAATAATGGCAACAGAATCTACAACTGACTGGATGTGGGAGCTTAGGTCAATGAAGGAGGAATATACCTTCCAGCAATTAAAAAAAAAAAGGAGCAAGAAGTAAAATCAATTTTAGACATGTTGAAGTTGAGGTACTTGAGACAAATTCAGGTTAGGATATCCAATAGCTGCTTGTTACACAGAATTGGAACTTACGAGAAAGATGCCAAGGCTATAGATGTGGATTTAGGAGTCATCAGCATGTGAGTAACAGTTAAAATCAGTGAGATGAAATTATCCAGGGGAAGCAAGTAGAATCAAAAAGAACAGAAACAGATGGCTAAGAAGCACCAGGAAGAAGATGAAAGAAAGGAAACTGATAAGGACTGGTCTGAGATGTAGCAGACCACAACAGTTTGCACAAAATGCCAAAGTGATTTTCAGGAAAGGAGGACAGACTGAGGTTGAGGGGAGTAAGGGTCAAATATGGAATAAAGGTGAAATGAAATATAGGTTTGAGGTGAGTGACACAGATTTGGCATAATTGCTGAGGAGAATGAACAGAAACTTTCCTGTTAACCACACTGGAAACTGACTTAAGACAAAGAGCAAATAGAGTGGCTATGGTCTAAAATGTCTATCAATAGGAGAATGGATAAGCAAAATACAGTAATCTATACAACAGAAGACAAGAAAAAGGAAAGAACTATTAATGAACACAAAAACATTAATGAATCTTGAAAACAGAGCAAGAAAGAGCAATCTTAACTCAAGCAAAATAAGAGTTATACAACGTATGACTTTATTTGTATGAAGTTCTAGAATATACAAAGTAATTATCTAGGAAGGATGCTTAACAGTAGTTGCTTCCAGAGGATGGTATAGACATGGACTGACTAGCAAGGAGCATGAGAGCATGAGGTAATGGTAATGATCCTGTTCTATACCCTTCTAAGGATTTGGCTTTCTAAGCTGCAGGTTTTTGTTAAAACTCAGGTGCTATCTTTAGATTTGTACATTTCCTTGTAAAGTTTTAAATAGAAAAAAAAAAAAAAACTATAGACAAATGTTTGGTAAAGGACCTGACAAAATATTTGTGAGGACAATAACTGCGGTCTCTAATTTATTTTGAAATACACTCAAAGAATAATGTAGATTAGTGGATCAGTAGAGGGATGGACAGATGTGATAAAGCAAATATAATAAAACAATGACAGACTCTGGAATGTAGTGAAAAAAAAAAAAAGGAGTTGCTATGGTTTAAGTAATTAAATATGCAGCATAATTAATTTGTAAGAAATTAGTTGAATTGGTCCCCTAGAGATCTGAACAAGTACAGTAGAAGGAATAAGTTGAAATTGTTAGCAAAAGTACTATTTTATGTAATGGACAACAAAGCTTAACCTAAGCAAGAAAACAAATGAGATCAGGAAGGGACCTATTAGGAAAAGTGGGGGAAAACCCCAAAACTTTGGGGTATCCATGAAACTGAAGAACAGGTACAGTATGAACAAGGATATGAGAAATGTGGAAGAATGAAAGGTTATTATGAAAGATCAGTTTGTCAGAATTTAAGTAAGAATTCAGAGTTAGGCAATTCCAGGCAAAACAGTGAGGACACAAAATAGATTTAATACTATCAAAACAGAGATCACAATGACATTTCTATAGCTGTACATAATCTATTAAAATAAAAAGACCCCCCAAAAAATAAAAATAAAATAAAATAAAAAGACCAGTAAATAATAGGAGCTAGACACAAAACATAAAATAGGATTCCTGCTGAGGTAATTCATAACTGTTGTTATAAATACCAAGAAATTTAGATTTCTAAAAGAGAAACTATAAATATTATAAGGTTTTGGGGAGACAGTGGAAGAATGGTTTGATGGGGCTAGATAAGAGAGTATGCCAAATAGGTGGAAAACAGAGTAGACAAATAAGAGAAAGCAAATTGTCAGTGAACTGACTACAAGTAACTAATACATGTTTTAAGTTTTTCCATCTTTCAAATGACAGTAACAACATGGGCTTTTTACCTACCTCCAAGGGCTATTGATAGATGATAAATAAAAGTAATTTTAAACATGAAGGAGAAAAAAAGTGTTCTGTGCAGCACTGCCCATAATAGCAAACCCTTGGAAATAACTTAAATGATCATCAGTAGAAGATGGCTAAATAACTATATATAATATTAACGCAATTGGCCATTACACAGCAATTAAGAGGAATGAACCAGACTAACAAATATAAACACAGATACAAACACAGATACATAAACATTATATATATACATATATATATATATGTATATATGTATATATATATATGAAATGTAAAAAAGTATATAATGTTGCTTATGGATATGTACATAATGTATAGTAAGAGTATAAAAACAAACATAAGAAAGATTAACAACAAAGTCAACATAATGATTATCTCATCTCTGGGGAGAAAAGAAGGAAATGAAATAAAGATGGATACTAAAGAAGGAATTTTCCACTCTACCTGTACTGTTTCATTTCTTTAATAAAGAAAGCTGGGGCAACAGCGGTTAGGACTCGGTATTCTCACTGTCAGGGTTCCATCCTTAGTTGGGGGAACCAAGATCCTGCAAGCTATGTGGGATCTTGGGTGTGGCTGAGAAAAAAAAAACCTGAAGCAAACACTGCAAAATAGTATTGGACAAAGCTAGATAGTAAGAGTTTTACAGGTATTCATCTATGCTTTATCCTTGAAACATGTAAGAATACAAACAGGTACATTACAGTATAAAAAATGCGGTATTACTACCATGCACGTTATTACTAACAATTATGTTCTCTTATACAAATCATAAGACTGTCAGGTAAATATCCTCAAACCCTTAAGAAATGCCAACAATCTATATATTGGAAGCGATTTTTCTGGGTCTGAGTATGTTAATACATGGCAGTAAAAGAGAACCGAGGGACTTTCCTGGCAGTCCAGTGGTTAAGAGGCCATGGGTTCTATCTCTGATCAGGGAACTAAGATCCCACATGTTGCATGGTCAAAAAAACAAAATTGAAAAAAAAAAGAAAGAAAAACAGAAATGACAAAACTACTATAGTCATTAACACTGAAATTATAAAGATATTCAAGTCCCATTAAATCATCCTTAAAGATATTTAATAATGAGGCAACAAATGGTTATGTTCTCTATATGTTCTAATCTTTTATAAATGGCATCACTTTTATAACCAGAAAAAAAAACTGTAAGGGAAAGATATCAAAAATCAATATCCTGATTATGTTTTTCTTAATTATTTTAAAAATTTCTTCATAGAAATGTTTTTCTTTTTCATTTCATTCCAAATTCCTAAGGAAATGAACAACTGAGGCATGAAACTTCTGTTCAAAATTATAAGTAATATATACACTTCGAAAAGTTCTTAAAAACTGATGAACTAGAAGACAAATAATTTTAAATATGCTGCAAAAGAATCAACGGTCCATGAAAAATCTGATTTTCGCACCTACTGCATTCCATATCTTCAGGCCAAGGAACACCAAACATCTCCATGAGCTTCGAACACTCACTGTAAGCCCGCTGACAGAGTCTACGGCAGGGAAGTGTGACACGTCCGTATTCCATACAAATAGGAGCATAGAGCGCACAGAGAAATGGCCGGAAATCCCGAGAGCAATCCAAATTCACCATAGGGTGGAATGGCTAGGGAAAAGTTCAAATCAAATCATTAGATGAAGAGCTCTATACAAGTTAAAGTTTTCTTCACATAAAATATGGCAATATTCTTGTTTTTTCTGTTTTAGAAGATTTCTGAAGGCAATTAAAATTTTCTGAAAGGAAGTTTTTGGTTTTTTCAACAAAACCCTCTTCACCTAGAATCACCTAGAGATTCTGATTTGGTTAAGTATGAGGTATATTGCAGAATTTATACAGATATTTTAATTATTACAGGTGATATTAATGAAAAGGCCTGGCTGAGAACACCAAATAACAATACTGTCCATTTTAAAAAGAAAAATCCACAAAAGATATGTGTCAAACACTCAGAAACCTAATTACTGCTTGGTAATGGGATTACAAGAGATTTCAATTTTCTTTTTCTTATGTACTTCAATTTCTGTATTTTTGTCAACTAACGTATATCAATAGGAGAGGAGGACCAAAAAATGAAAGGAAAGGGTAGGAGAGGAAGTTCAGCTTAGTTCAGTTCAGTCGTGTCCGACTCTTGGAGACCACATGAACTGCAGCACGCCAGGGCTCCCTGTCCATCCCACCTCCTGGAGTTTACCCAAACTCAAGTCCATTGGGTCAGTGATGCCATCTAACCATCTGTCCCCCTTTTCCCCTTGCCTTCAATCTTTCCCAACAGGAGAGGAAGAGTAGTCGTTATTATACACAGTAGTACATATTCTGAAGTGGGAGGTAAGGCAAGAGATATCACTTTGGTCTCATATTTTCCTGTTCCTTTAACATTACAATAAAATTTTAAAAACATACACTAGAGTTCTTTGAACTCTGAAATCACATGATGTAAACAGAGCTAACACTGTAAGCTGATATTAAGGAAACAAAAAGAAAAATAGTGGCCCCAAACATAAAACCATACTAAAATTATCATCATAACCACAGGAATATATCAATTATCCCAAGAAATGTACATCTGGGCTTTTGATTACCAAATATTTTTTTCACATGTTTATATAACCAGTTTCAGAGTCACTGCTGATCTTTAACTAATAACATATTCTCACCACAAGGCCTTTCCACTAAGACTCAACCAATTTATTTCTACATTGATATAAAATATTTTCCAGAAGCCTTTTATACACAACACAGTCACAAAACCAAGAGTCACTTAGAGAAACTGGTGTTAAAAGAAGTTAAATGTATAAGAGGTGTGATAACTGATACATAACTATATGTGATGATCACTTTACCACTTATTATCACTATCACTATATATAATATATATAAATATATAAATATAACACTATATATTATATATACACTATATATAATAAATATAACATATTTATATATAATAACATATAATAAACTACACGCAATCAGCACTTCCAAGCATGAAGAAATAATTTTAAATTAATAACTTTAAATTAAATCAATGTTTCCATCAAGAACAACTTCAAAATATAGGAAAAGTTTTAAAGTATCTATTGAAGGCTACTAGAGAACTATTGAAGGAAAAGAACTAGACAGACCAGGAATCAGAGAGCAGGGAAGCATGCAGAGGTGGCCTGGTAAGTGTAGTCACTTCTCCAAGGAGGTGTCTGTTGAACCTGGCTGCAAGGCAAGAGACTGAGAAGCAAGCTTTGCCCAGGCTGATGCGAGAGAACCAGGAAACCAGCAGGGCTCTGGCAATCGTGCAGGATCATAGACAGTGCATGTATATATACAACCGAATCACCTTGCTGTACCCCCTACGACTAATACAACATGTTAATCGATGATGCTCTAATATAAAACAAAACTAGAAGAAAAAAAAGACTACAGACAAAATTCAAAGCAAAAGTGACAGATGGGTGAACAGGGAAGTACCTAGGTTTGGGTCTGACACAGAGCTTCAAGATATTTGAAAATTCTGGAGATGCACAGGGCAGGAGGTTAAAAAGCTAAGCACAAAGCGTCTGAAAAGCAGAGTGGAGATCCAGCAGCGCTGTCAGTATGAGGAAAGATAAAGCGGAGGCCCAAGCCCAGCCCGAGGAGACGAGCGCGGCTCACTGCAGCTGGAGGCCTCCCTGAGTGGCCACCCTTCAGCGGTGGGGCGAGCGACGGGGGCAGAGACCGGTCAGAACTGAGACCCAGGCTCAACGCGGCTCAGCCCCGAGACTGCACATGGGAAACTCGTCTGAGAAAACAAAAGATGAAGGGTTCCAGAAAGTTGGAATCTTTCATAAAGAGGGACCAAATGGAAATTCTCTAAGGGAAATACATAAACGATGAAATGAAGGGCTCATTAGATATATCAGAAGAAAGAAATGGCAAAATGGAAAACAAGGCAATGGAAAATATCCAAACCAGGAGCGCACAGACCAAAACCACTGAAAAATACAGAAAAAAGCATAACAGATGTGTAAAATACATGAAAATGTTTAGGATATACATAACTGGAACCTCAAAAGAGGGAAGAAAGAATGAACAGAGGCAATATATAACAAGATGAGGGTCAAGAATTTGTCAAAACTGCTAAAGACAAGCATTAGATTAAAAAAGTTATGCAACACTGCAATGTTGTGAAGTAATTAGCTTCCAACTAATAAAAATAAATGAAAAAAAAAAAGTTATGCAAATACCCAGAAGAATACATACAAAAAATACACCTAACCATATCGTATTTAAACTGTGGAAAACCAAAGGAAAATATTGTAAAAGCAACCAATAGGGGAGAAAAAGACATCTTACCTTCAATAGAACAACTACTGCTGGACTTTGGAATACTGGAAAACAACAAAATGACTTAAAAGAGCTAAGAGAAAAACAACTGCTCACCATAATACTATGGTCAGCAGAAATACCCTTTAATAAGTGAAGGCAAAGTAAAGACATTTTCAGATAGACAAAAACAGAAAAATTACTGGCCCAAACCTACACTAAAAGATAAAAGTAATCTAAGATGAAAATTCAAAAGGAATTAAAAGCCACAAAAGAGGTGAATATGTGGGAAAACAGAAATGAATATTCTATGCGAAAGCAAAAAATGCCTTAAAAGATATACAAAATACAAAATAATTATGTGTAAAAATAAAATGATAAATACAGGGGTCAGAGGAACACTAACGGCAGAGTGATCAAAGTTATTATTTTTATTAGAATACTGTAAGTCAAGAGTACATATCATAATTTCTGGGGTAAGTAATATAAGAATGCACAACTAACTACGTAATAGAGAGAGAAATAGAATAATACAAAAGAAGTCAAGATAGGAGAGAGAAAAAGGGAAACAGGAAAACCTGAAATCAAATAATAAGATGGTAGATATTAACCCAAGTACATCACCAATTGCATTATATATAAATGAACTACCAACTACGTAAGAGAGTAAGATTGCTGGACTAGGTACAAAAAAAATTTGCTGATAAGAATGTAAAATGAGGCAACCATGATGGAAAAAGTTTGGCGACTACTCAAGCAGTTAAACACAAAACTGCCACATGATCTAGCAATTCCACTCCTAGGAATATACCCCAAATAATTTTAAATCATGTTTAAGCAAAAATAATCCTGCTTATTTAACTTATATACAGAGTACATCACGCGAAATGCCAGGCTGGACAAAGCACAAGCCAGAATCAAGATTGCCGGGAGAAATATCAATAACCCCAGATACACAGATGACACGACCCTTACGGCAGAAAGCAAAGAACTAAAGAGCCTCTTGATGAAAGTGAAAGAGAAGAGTGAAAAAGTTAGCTTAAAGCTCAACATTCAGAAAATTAAGATCACTTCATGACAAATAGACGGGGAAACAATGGAAACAGTGACAGACTATTTTGGGGGGCTCCAAAATCACTGCAGATGGTGACTGCGGCCATGAAATTAAAAGACGTTTGCTCCTTGGAAGAAAAGTTATGACTCATCCTAGATGGTATATTAAAAAGCAGAGACATTACTTTGCCAAAAATTTCCGTCTAGTCAAAGGTATGGTTTTTCCACATGTATGGATGTGAGAGTTGGACTTTAAACAAAGCTGAGTGCTGAAGAATTGATGCTTCTGAACTGTGATGTTGGAGAAGACTCTTGAGAGTCCCTTTCACAACAAGGATATCAAACCACTCTATCATAAAGGAAATCAGTCCTCAATATTCATTGGAAGGACTGATGCTGAAGCTGAAACTCCAACACTTTTGCCAACTGATGGGAAGAACTGACTCACTGGGAAAGACCCTGACACTGGGAAAGTTTGAAGGCGGGAGGAGAAAGGGACAACAGAGGATAAGATGGTTGGATGGCATCACTGACTTGATAGACAGGAGTTTGAGCAAGC